TAATGTTGTCTCATCATTTTGCCTAGGAATCTCGAATCATCTTTCCCAGAGGTTCCTCTGAAGACGCAAATAAAACCTACACGGTTCTCAGGTAATATAGTGCTAGTTTTACAATAATAATCAATCGGGTTCCAATTGGAGTAGCTTTTCTTTTGTCAACTTGGAATTGCATCAAGGGTCAATAATATAGTGCGTTCATAATTTTGCCTTTTTGTATTATTTTAATATTTGAAATGGTCATTTTCGCTTTATCCAAAGTTACCTTGTGTACTGAGATGGTGAAGTGTTGAAAGACCATGATAGGTAATATTCTTATGTCAGAACCCGCCTACAACTAGAAATTGGAACAAAATGGCGTTAATGGAACTTTGGTTGGTTTATAATCGAAAAATCGTCGAAACCTAGAGGGCTTGTTGTAAAAAGCCTGCCGATAAAAATTATCTCTTTGCTTTATATACGGATTATTTGCAGGGTACTAGTGTGTACCGGAATGCTTTGTTGGTACTGCATCAGAGCGGGTGATTTACCATTCAGTTTATCTTCATGCTGTTCCCACAAACAATCTAACGTTCAAATCTACAAAATAAAATTACCTTGCCTCAATCAAATTTTATTTTTCATGAATAAGTAGGTAAAAAAAACTCCGTCGGCTAAAATCTTCCATTGAACAATTAAGGCTTTGTGAATGCTTGCATACCGTACGTTTCCGATCGATTTTTGAAAGTTGCGAATTACGACTTGGAGAATGAGCTGCGAAGTACATTTAGCAAAAGAATGCACTCTTCCTAAACCGTATCCTCATACAGTACGTTGAAAGTGAATAGAACAACACGCAAATTTTTACACTACTCATTGATATCGCCATTTCTTTGTATTTTTGCCGTTTTTCTACCATGAAATTCCTGGAAATTTCACCTTTTCAAACGTTTATCTCATCCAATGTCTTGAGAACTAACATTCGGTGAATAAAACAAGCTCTTTGATCGACCACGGTCCATTTTCTTTGCATAACAGAGTTCTTACGTAACAACAGCGCGCTAGAAAAGTCAGGAGGTGATCTTTCAACATGTCAAAAGTTCCTTCCGCTTGATAATCATCAACCAACCGCGAGCTTCCTGAACGCAAAACTGAAGAAATGACGCGAATTAAAACACCGATCTGTATCTTCAGCTTACTTGCCAGCGAATTCCATCGCGTCTTGGCATATTTTGGACTTGCAATTGATCACACGGATTTGGCGTTTCTCTTTGACTTGCCAATGAGAAAATAGTGGTTTACAGGAAAAGAACGTCGTTGAAATCGCAACCATCACGATATTCATGCCGCTCAGTTGTAATAGATTTTTACTCGTATTAAGTTTGAGTGATATGTTGTGTAAAGCGGATGTTTTGGAAACTGCGATGGTCATGAATTGAGATGCGGATAAGTAACGCTGAGAGGAAAGAAAGCATGAAGTTATATGGCTGGATCACAAAGAGCTAAACTTCTCCTTTTTCCTTCCACATGTATAGATTTATCTCAAATCTGAAATCGATACTCAAACTGGTAACACTGAAAAATGCAGAGCTCAACGAAATAGCGATCAGAGAGCCGGGTCGAAATGAACCAGTTGTTCATAGTAAGTGACTGAAAATTGCTTCTCAAGGAAAGTAGCTTTTAAGTTTGTCTAAGCGGGAAGTTGGAGTACGTGCAACTTTCTCAGATTTGTATTATTTAACTCAGATACCCAAAATAATTGGTAACACTTCCACTAGGAGAGCATTTACAAAATGTCCTGCTCTGAAGAAAATGTGAGTCGTAGCTGTATGAAACCGCAGTTAAACCCGGAAAATACGTCAGCTGCTATGGAAGTAAAAAAAATAAAGAAAACAAAACAATTACAAAGAGATTTCCGATACGGTGTACTTTAGTATAGGCTTTTGAATTTATATTGTTTTAAAGACGATTAACCTTGCCGCGGTGGTAAAACCAAGTAAATAAAGTAACAAAATGTGATATTTTTAGATAGCGGTTTACCACAAATAAACTTCCCGAGTTCCTGCAGAGAATATATCGATCACGCAAATTTAGAAAAACAGCATGTATTGACCAAAGGCCGTCAGTAAGAACCCGGCTAAAATAGCTTAGTTAAAACGTATCCGATACATCAAAGCTTATTCAAAGTTTTGCGCTCGCACAAACCCACATATCTACGGCAACAACATATCTGAAACGAGGTGCTAAATACGTTAAAGGCGAGCAGGCTTTCACGCGATTCGTATAAATGAAGGCGCTTTTTTTCCCAGAGCATATTTAGTTGAAAGTGACACTTGTCACAGTTCTTATTTCAGATATTTTTTTAGTAGTTTCTCACTTCTGCTTTCTTCGAACTTTATTTGCAGGCTGATGGTATGCAGTAGGCTTAAAATAGTTTATTATTAAAAATCGTCATTCCCAGGTGAAAAATCGACACTTGCTTATCTAAAATTGGTTATTTTCAGTGTTAACTTCAGCCTACATCCAGTTTAGAAGAATGCGAGATCGTTCGAAATCTGAAAATCCCTTCTATCATCGTGTCTATTTTCACACAAACAAATGAAAATATTAACATTTTTAGAAAAATTCCAAAATTTCCCTTCAAAATCAATCTAGAGTAAGGAAGCCAACATATTGCGCTGTCTATCAATTGTCAGATGGAGTAAGTCATAACATAACCTTGTTATTAACTGCTCTTTGCTGTTATTACAGGCATTCTCTGTTTTGTTTATAAACGAGCAAATATACGTCAACTTAGCAACTAAATAGGTTTGATTAAACCCTCTGGATAATTCTATCAAGGTTTTGAATAACTTAGATATTTGTTAAGGAATTTCTCTGTAAAAAACCTTTTCAGGTTTAGTTCTAGGAAAACAAAAAGCTAGTACACTCTTTTTTCCTTTTCAAGCGAAAGACTTTAAGTCGTGAATTGTCTTGAAACAAAGGGAACTTTTACCACGGATTTAATTGTGATAACGTAGCTGCCTTCGAACACTGTTGACATATCCTAACAAGAAATTATGGATTCCTGAACTAGCTTTTTTAATGTAGATTTACTGTCTGAAGAATAATAAAGTACTGTGCTCCAAAAATTCATAGCAAAATGAGATTTGGACCTGGCAGCACCATGCCCTGTACTGGCAGTAACTGTCATTTTCATCTTCAATTTTTTTTCATCTCTGAAGACCTGAAACTGATTGGAATTGTGTACGACGGATGGAGTGAAAACCAAACAGCATTTCACCAACAGAGTTTCAGTTCAGCTGAACGCTCGGTTTTCATGAGTTTATGGTTTAGCTACTCTGCATTTGAGAAATATTACTCGTGATTAGTGATGAATTTGGCGTTGCATGCTGTCTTTAGGGTTCACTCATTTCATTTCTTTGTCGTTTAAAACTTTCAAAGGTGTCATTATTAGAAAAAAAAATATTTGTCTGAATTAAAAATAGGTTTTGGGTGACCAGTTTTGCAAGTCTGTATGATATTTTGGTTGTGTCTTTCAATGCCCAGAATTCAAGTGACAAAGAACGGCACAAGACTGGTGTCGTAGTAATTCGGTGACATGACAGCAAGATGATAAATTAACAAAAGGGTCACGTTAACGGCGAGTCCAATTTTAGCCAACTGTTCTGTATGAAAAAAAAAAAAAAGATAAAAAAGCTATAAAATTGTCAAACTGTTGCGGTATTATTGTTATTATGTTAATAACCGAAAAACATCTCTTCTGCGCTATAAAGCAGAGAATAACTCGGATTCTTGATAGAGGCGAAGCTGAGAAAATTGTCTTAAATTAGTCAGCCAAGGCACATAAATAGATCTTTCGCGTTGTTTCTCTGCAACTGGAATTTATCGCACACTAAGAGGGCAGATACGAGGTTGCTATGACACAAACCAGCTCATGTTGAGCTCCATCTTTTTTCTGCCCTAGAGTATAATTTAATTTGAGTGTTTAATTAAGTGATTATATCCCCCATTTTGAGCATACAAATGACCCTTAGGCCTTTTCCTAATTTTGATTTTTATTTCCAATTTAATTCAATTTATCTTTTGAGCCAAGTCATGAACTAAAGGCTCTTCAGAAATATTTGTGACCGCAAAATGCCCTAATTTTACAAAATTGCGTTAGTCAGAACACCTTTGCCTTTTTACACATCAAACGGCTTCTAATAATGGGGTCGGGTAATAGCAAGTTGGTCAGTCTGTTGGGCAGCTAGACCTTTTTCAACCCTTTAACTAACACACGGCGTATTAGCAATGTTTTTCTCAAAAAGCTTGCCCCGTAAGTTTCCCTTCTTCGCTTAAAATTGCATGGTTTGAGAGCAATCAAAAGCACGTTGTCTTCTATTGTTTATGCTATTTGATTGCGTTGATGTGATAAACTTATGATGTGTTTCTCCGCATTGCTGAGCACATAATCACAATTGGCGATAAGGGCGGTACATTTCGTGACATTGGTTCGCAGATTTGGACGGTATTTATACACGAATGGATTAAGTAATCGTCTTTAAGTGGTTTCAAGATCGGCCTATTGTATAAGTTTTTTGCGAGCATCCCGGGGTCGCATTCGTTCGTTTTATAAACGATTACACTTGGAGCAAAAACAATGTCCGCCAACGCGGTATTATCCTTTTACCTTTGATCCTGCGGGTTACAATTAAACCATTCTTTTGATCAACCGCCAAACGGGTCCCATGTGGGTAGGAACGCGAGAAATGGTCATACAGGCTTAATTGGTTTCACCGAGAAAAAACTACGTTGTGCGCCTTGAAGGAAAAAAAGACGCACCAAATTCGCTCCTGGTATAACCAAGGTTTTGATCAGGCGCACCCCAAGTCTTGCACGCGCTGGCGTTTGCCGTTTAATTCCAGCAATTAAAATAAAATATTAAAATATGGGGGTATTGCAACGTAAATATTTGTATTAGTTGGATAGCATTGCATTAAGTATTAGCGGCTGCTCCAATAACGTGCTTGGGTATGTAATTGAAGTGGCCAGAATTAACTTTGCGGTTCACACGGTCATGAAGTTTAATAATTGAGCAATTAGGATGAGGCTTTATAGTTACCGCGTCCAATAGGGTGCGGAGTTCACTACTATATAGCCTAGTTGAGCATCGCTGTTATATCAATTCTGGCCGTCTCGTTGCCATCGACTTAGATAGTTCATTCTTAGGTTGAAAGCGAGTTTTTTTTTGTCGTGATAGAAGAACGAACGCCGTGGAAGAAAAACCAGTTACTTTGAAGCTGGGGCATTTTTTTTTCAGGTTAAAAGACTAATTCGATTGCAGTGTAAAAGGACAACCACTTGAAAATGGTGAGTAAATTCTTCAAGGTAGTTCTTGGTGTTCAGTCTTTTCTTCAAACTTTATCTTAGGTTGTTTTGGATCAAAATGAGCAGTTCTCGAAAGTTGTTTTATTTAAACGCATTTAGGTTACTAATTTGTCACAATTGTGAACACTTAATCAATTATGTCGAACCTTTAATTTGTTTGCACACGATGAATGTGCGCTCTAAGCCGTGGCAAAAATAAGTCGAGAGAGCAACTACGTTTATTTATAGAGCAACTTATGTGATATCTGTGAAAGTTATATTTGCGCAAGTGATATTTGCGGAAGAAATGGTATTTTCGAAAGAAAAACCCGTCTGGGCCTATTAAATCTTCGTTTTGTTCAACAATTCATAAAATCCGTCTCTGACTTTCTCACAAAGACTCAAAGCTCTGCATATATATTTGAATCACACCACGTTTAGAAAACAAGTGAAAACAATACTTTTTCCTTCTTGTGTGTATTTTCCCCAGCAGTTCCTTGTTTTTACAACGGTGTTTTTCTGGGCGTTTCTGAGTGTTCCGCTCGTTGACTGCAGCATAGACCTTCAGCAAGAGTCGTGGAACGAATTGTCGCATCAGTTCGTTCACCTGGCTAAAAAGTGTTACTTGTCGCGCGATATATTCATGTTGAGGTTGCATCATCTTACCGATAGGAATGTCACATGCAACGATGGCACGCCAGCAGGGTAAGTATGAGATAGAAAGCGATATATGTGCTGATGAAATATTCATTGATGTGACAATGATCAAAACAAGAATTACTATGCATAATGTGTGATAATTTTCACAGGTTTTGTGTAGTATTAATCCTCAAACGTTACATTCATGTTACATAGCTTTTCGCGAAAGATAGTTTTCCTTGACCAACTCAACGCCCAAACGTATCAATGGCCGCGCGCATGCCAAGCTCTGATGGAATTACACTCAGGTTAAGAGGGAGTTTACGCAATCATATTATGTGAAGAAAGGTTGACTTTGGAATCAGAAGATAAGTCCTGAGTGGCTTCAACCGCCAAACTTATTACAAGATCTATCGGTTTTATTCGAAAATAAGTAGTCTTGAGTTATATTCTAAGCAGTTTACAAAAGTTTATGAATGTCCTTCTTTCACTGCATGATCCAAGCCGAGGTTTCTAGAGGCAAATTAAAGAACTCCTGTCTGATCAGAAAATGTATAATACTTGTTTTTGATAACAAAGAAAAATCGGCATTTTCAGGGTGTAAGTACAGATTTGAATATATCAGTGCTAAAACAATGATAACCAACACGTTGCTACAACGTGCTTTCCGGAAAATTTTTTCTGTCGAACTCAACAAGATTAAAATCAAAGGAAACTAAAGAATTCAGATTCTTACATATCAACGTTGCCAGTATTTTACTCTTGCAGTTCTTCGTTGCCAGCATTTCAATTAAGTGGGAATTTTGATTTTATGCCAGCTTAATGCGATATGGAGTCGTCAAAGGATACAAACAAGACAACTCAATTGACCTTTTGTGAAGGGAGCGCAGCACTTTCATTTTACTTCCTTAAGTAATTGTTCAGTTCAACCCTTCAAAAGGAATAATAACGTCATTACTTCAGTGCAATCAGGCAAAATTGAAAATTTATTGGAATTTTTTTTGATTCACAATTTATGAAATTTGATGAAAAGCCGAATACTTTTGTAGTCAACCTTGCTCTCAGGAAACTCCATGCAAAGAACAGATGTTAACAGTTAAAATGGAAAAGACTACAATTCTTCTTTGTCGTGTCGTTGGCTCCAACACGAAATCCTTCCTACTTATTTACAGCATTGAAAATGTGTTTTAGAATATCTAAAACTTTTCGAAAGGGTTCTTATTAAGATTTATTTTTTCAAATACTGGTAGACTTAAGTTTGTTTGCCTCCTCTTGGTCAAACACTCTATTTAGGCGCCTTAGTTACTTTCTTGGTTTCGTGCATTCGTTGATTGTCAGCATCTGTGGTATTCAATTGTTGATTGGACTTTAGTTAGTAAGTTCACGACTTATCAATAGTACTGATTGACGAATTTGCTCAATCTCACGAAAAACATCCATACATGGTCTTGTTTACAAATGCTACAGTAATTACTGTACAGTGAACAAAGCGATAGATTCCGTTACAGTTTCCTGTGTGTAGCAATTTTCCTCCATACTGTCATCGTCAAATCCGGCCCTGTTTATTACGCTGTTAATTTGATAATTCTGAATTAATTCTTCCATTCTGAATTAAATTTCTTAAACGCTCCATATGCCTTATCACGTTGAAAAAAAAACTATTTTAACAATTTTAATGGCAGGAACTTCAAGTCCTTTGAAGGATTAGATGTTCAAACATTAAGACAGCCTTAGCAATCAAGAAGAGGTCAACTAAACCATTGAAATGAAATAGAGAAAAAAAGGAATTTTTCTGCCAAGTGCTAAGTTAAAATTCGACTATCTAAAGGCTCCTCGCTTTAATCCAAAAAATACAGTTTAACTTCAAAGAGACTTCGTTTTAACTGTGACTCAGAGGTATGAAATGTTCATCCGCTGAATCCGAAGGTTTGCGGTTTGAATCCTCTTAGGGGGGAGGGAGGCTTAGACCTTCTTTGTATTAAAACAAACATTTTTCTTTAATTTTCGACCGAACCAAAAATTACCCATCCTCATTCTACATCTATTCTGAGTTTCGTTCTCCACTAGAAAGGGTGTGGTTTTCCAGCAAAATGAACTGGAAGTCGTAAGTTTTACTGCGCACTGAATTCGTCTTTAAGTTCCACACAACCATGTTTGCATTCGGGTCATTTTCAGGATTTGGCTCTAAGCCGACCATGGTACAAATAACTAAGGTATGAAAATAAAATCGAGAGCAAAAAAATCAACAAAGATATCAGTAGAAAGACAACGCCACTCATAGAGTGGCAAATCAAAATTTTTTAAAATTATCTTTAAGTAAAGTTTGATTTCTGTAACTGCTATATGCAATATGAACTTGATTGAACTTGACTAAAGACAGACAAAAAAATGGCAACTTTTGAACTCGGTCGTGGGATGTAGTAAGATCTAAGTCATTTTTCGGGACACCAGCAAAGGAAAAGATGCGAGTCCCCATGAGGGATGGCACTTCAGTCCTTCGGACCATTTTCACGTACATAGGCGTTACCACTTACCGTTGACATGGCATGCCATAATACATCGGCTTGCTTAGATTAGCCACAACTCTGAGACATTTGCGCAAAGCTTTACGCAGAGGCAATCAGGTGCAATCGTGTGGTATTTACACCTAGTTTATAATCTTCATTTAAAATTTAATTGAATGTTTTTTTACTCCGATATTGAAAGCTTAGAAGATATGTCTGCTGAAGTAAATCAGGTCAAAGTAGTCTACTGTGATAAACAACGTAACCACGGAAAGTTTTCGTGAATCTTTTCACGAATTATTTTATCCTAATTGTTTCCCTCTTTTTATTATTTGCAGGTATTACTTGAGAAGAGCTCATGGTAGTAAAAGGTGGATTGTGTATTTGGAGGGTAAATATAACTCAGTCGGTATATTTTTAGTTTTGACTAAGCCTTACTCCCTCACCCGAGTTTTAAATAGATTGGACAAGATTAATAAAGAACATATCTGCGTCCTAAAATGCCTCCATCAACATTTTACAAAAATAACCTATCAACATGTCTTTTTATCTTCACGAAAGAACACCTTTAAGTCGAATTTTCATTCGATGGAAGAAAGCCAATCGCGTGAACGCTTTACAATACTGGTAATTTTTGCGTAAATGATCACGCGAAACAATTTTCCTCAGAATGTAAAGCTGAAATTCGTTTGCTGATTGTTGAAAAAATAATTGCTAGTGTCACTCTGCATTTTGTCCAGTGTGCGCCAATCAGAAACTACGTTGGGAATTTCACAACTTTATCAAAATGAAAACATGTTTCGAACGGACTTCATGCATATCCTCCGAGCCGAGAAGCGCGGTTAAGGAACATAAAGAAAAACGGATAACTAAGAAGGAACGATTCGGTAAAAAAAAGCAAACAAAAAAAAAAGCGTTGAACATTCGCTTTTTTATTTTGAATGTCGTCCTTTTCATATATAAATGTTCAACGCTAGAAAAATGCTGATAACAAATGCTTGTCAGGTGGTGTTCATTGCGTTGATGTGTAGTTCTCACCTTCAATTGAAGTAAGAAAGAGGATTAACATGTCCTGGGACAGTTGTACTTTGAATAGGATTAGAAGTATCATCCAAAGAATAACGAGAAATGTTGTCAAGTGTTTCATAGATACTGGAAACTAAAATTTAATCGGACGTTAGACTGAGCGGATGTGCTTGCCGAAAACCTCTTCCTTTATCTTGTTTAGCGTGGCTAAAAGAGGAGATGTCATGATCAAGTTAAAACAATGAGGTCTTTTTTTTGAAAATTTTAAAAGGGAGTACTGTCTAAAACCGAACATAGCACATTAACATACATTAAAGTGAATGGTTCATTAAGTCCTTAGCGATAGGCTAAAATAACGAACTATTTTCTGACGCGGCTCTGGATAATTTGCCGCTGAAAAGAGAATTGCAGTGTTTCTAAAGAGCTGGTATCTCACACATAATTGATATGTTTTCAAACTGTTCAGATTCTCAGTTATATTTCCTGTTATTTCTCTGTATTTATCAGAAAGTTTTTAATACGGCTTATCGGATAATTTGAGACCGTTGTCTTAGAAGCCCTGAAATTGAATTGATCCTCTCAGTTGCTGGTATTTCCGCCAAGTTTCTGTTTTATTCTTCGTACCGTAATTCATTAGGGAAACAAATATTTCGAATGTAAAGATAAAGGAGCTTAGATATTGTACAAGCTCTGGCCGCTTTTGTTTAGGTTTTTTTAATTTTAAGACCTGTTCTCAGTTTTGTTGCTATGATATCATCCGCGGAGGTTCTACTCTTCGATTGCTAGCAGCACACAGTGAAAACAAAAAGCAATTGAAACGAGTTAAAAACTACACTTTTGCAAAAATACCATAACCTCCCAAAAATAGAATGTAATTTCAGTTTCCTGTTGATTCCCCAGTGTGTTTTGACTGCTGAGGTATTTCATACAGCCCCTAATTTAAACACACCATCTTGTGATTTTTTTTTTCCTTTGGATGCAATGGCTGCTTCTGTTTCTATTTTCTATCTGTCAACACGCACAAAAGCAAATCTGTTCTAAAATCGTGCTGCCTAAGGTGGAAAGGCCTTAAATCACAATATACCTCATCATCAACTTTCTAATCCTTGCTATTTATTCTGCTTGTTTCTCACCAGGTGGCGAATTCTGTACCAGTGCAGAGTCTTGCCAAGCGAGATATTCCGATATGACCCATCTGATGTCTTCTGCTAGGTGGAACCCTGTTAAGGAAGGTATAACGTAAAAGACACTCTTCTTTTAGATTCCAAGGCGGAAAATTCTCCGCTGTATGTGTCTTTTTTTCATTTTCTGCGGCATAAAACGATTGAAAGTATCCAAGCTAATGTTTATCCTACATGGAATGCCTTGGCAATTTTACAGAGAGTGGATACTCGTAAGAAAGGATCAATTAAAGAAAATGTATCCCCTAGATAGGTATTATTTCTTGGTAATCCCCTTTTACTTTCCTTAACGGAGTCCTTAAGAGAACCTAAAAATAACCTAAGCCGTGTCGCGAATTTTCGACTTCCTGTGCAGGGATTGGAAGTTCTTTACCTTCAAATTCGTGCACTAACGCGCGCGGAGTATGTGCAAAATCACGAGAACTTCAATAAAGCAGAAAGTATTGCAGCAAAAACGTTGAAAAAAAACAATTGGCCAGTGAGCAAAAGCGCGTCACCTTTTCTAATATGGTTCTCCATCATATATGCAAGATGACGACGTGAAATTTCCTGGCGTCAGATGGAGTATGTTTAACACGCACGAAGATATAGCCTGTCTTCCCTGAAATTGACTGCACTTCAACAACAATCACCACTGGGGAACATCCGTCTAAATTTGGTTGGCATATTAAGCGAGTTACATTTATTACGGAAAAGGTTTTTTTAGAAGGAAAATATGCCCCCCCTCGTGGTTAAGTCAGCTCCTAACTATAGCCTGACACGGCAGCCGGACTGTGAATCTGTCAAAAAGTTGACACAGCTTTAAAAGATCGATTCCGACTTATCTTTCTGATGATTTCATAAGGTTTTAAAAAGAAAGAAAACATTTCTTGGTTACTGATCTCTTGTGCTGTATTGTCTTGTTTGTTAGGCTCCGGGATACTCTCAACGAAACAACACCTAAATCCAACCTGGTGGAATGCAAATCATGTGTAAGATTTTCATATTTATTAACCTTTTTTTAACCGTCCTTCATTGTGCAACCGGGGCTAAGGTATTAGGTTAGAGAGAAAATTCATGTCATTAAATTATGAGCTGCGAAGAAACCTCGTGAGTTATAGAGTCACCTCTCAACCCGATTCTTTAATAGAAGAGGATTTGAGAGCTGCGTATAAATATTTTGCGGTCATTTCAGCCAAATGATTATTTCATTTGGAGAGAAGAAGACGATGAAACAATCGTGGAGTCGGGTAATAAAAACAAGAAAGTTAATAGTGAAGAGATCATTAACACCAAGATGTCATTAGTAACTCTCTTCACTGTCTGCCATACAAATCTTATGATGTTAGTTTGGAGAATTTGGTATTGGATCAATTGATAATCTCCTGATTGATATTTTTCTTTATTCTCATCACTTGTCTGCCTGATGTTGTATTGATATTGTAAGGAGAAATTCTGTCTTGGTCCTCCATGGGAATTAGAGAGTTGATAAGGGATGGACAGGATTGACATATTCAAATTAAGAAAATGCAAAATCTGGCTTGTGAGTAGGATCATTTTGGCGCTTCAACACGAGCGGCGAGGTGCGTGCGTTTCGAACGCGTGCGAGCGATGTGAGGGTGCACGAAGCGGTGCGAGGGTTCTGTTAGTTTTTGTGCCCGACCCCTTGAAAACCTCTCACTCGCTGGCTTTGCTCACCGGCTCGAATCTCTCTTCGCCGCTTATGCCCATGCGCGGTCTGGCAGAATTCAGGCTAAATTTTTCAGGATTCGCAAACTGGTGTACCTCCTTTAACATTTGGGAAAGAAGCTTGTGTATTCATGACCGACGTTCTTACTTGTAAACAAAAGTTATCAATGTTTGTTATTTTGTCGTCAGGTATGTACCGTACTGCTCAAGTGACGCATGGATTGGCAACGCATCAGCAAATGAAACAGGAGGTACTAACCTGTTCCTTTACCCTTAAATTACATCGAAATGTCTCAATAACTAAATACAAGTTAAGACTGAGTCCCTTCAAGTTTTACACCTGTGAGATTTTTAAAGATTTCATCACAGCCGATTCTACGATCAGTCTTAACCCTTCACGTCCTAACATCAGTATGCATATTCTCCATACTGGAAGGAGAATTTGTTTGACAATCAAGGGCTTCTTAAGTTGCTGATCATTTCTTTTACTCTCGTGGCTTATATGTGTGATTTAGGGGTGATACTGTAATGAGAAATTAGATCTCAGTCACTCCATCGGGTCAAAGGGTTAACTGCCCACAATTATTCGATGGCGTGTTCAATCCTATACCACAGGTACAAGACCTTTTTACGTCGTGTTTTTCAGAGCGATTCTCTTTTGTCGGAAGCAGAATATTGGAAAGGGTGTTTACGGAGCTGATGTCAAAGGGTCTGGAACATGCCGAACGTGTTCTTCTAGCAGGAAGCAGGTATTCTGGTCTCAGTGCCATATTTTCGTTAACTTAGAAAACTACTTAGTTGTCAAGGCTTAGACCAGGTCTATTTCAATTGGAAGGGTGAATTTCTGAGTGGGTCTTAAGCATGCTTCCCTTAGAATAAAGTATAAACCAGTGAATAGGACCAGCAAACAGGTGTGATCAAGCGTTGGGAATAGTATGAGATTGCATTGGTTTTCGTTTTCCTCGCCCTGTGATTAGCTTTAAAATACTCGTGCCATTCCCTTAAATAATATTTGCAGTGTACTGAATTCATGTAACATCTGAACTCAGTCATGCCCTAACTCACCACAGAGGTCTTTGTAGCACAGTTTTATGGCAACGGAGCGCAGAATGCGAAGGTCTGGGCTCGATTCCTTATGGGAATTCAAAACCTTTCTTTGCTCCTCGCTATTTTCCAGACCAACAAAGTCTTTCTTTAAAAATCTAATATTTATGATTCGCACTTATTTCGTCCTTAGTGCTGGTGGTATCGGCGTGATTCTCAACTTGGACAGGATTGCCAAAAGGCTCCAGACGGGTGGATTTAAAATCGATGTTCGAGGCCTGGCTGATTCCGGCTGGTACCTGGACATTCCTTCGTGTCCTGCAGGAGGAAAACACTGCCAGAGTGCTAAAATCCAAGAAAACGTGACCAAAATGGCAATAGCGTAAGTAAACACGTGAACTGCGTAAAAGGTTCTTGGCTAGAACGCTGGTGAGACTCGCGCGAAAGATCAAATATAGTTGTAACTCTAATCTTCGCGCGTGAATTACCACTTGCACGTGCAGGTATGAATCACCTGCGCCTTGTTAAGTAGGTAGGGCCAAGCTTGGTGTTTTGTTCTACTTGGCGCCTTCAAATAAAATTTTTTTTAAGGTTTTAGAATGAAAAGCTTTATTTATAGCTTCAGCTTTTATTTATCAGTTATTGGAGAGGCGTTGTACCTGACGATTGCGCAAGAAGAAATCCTCAGAAAAAATGGAAATGCTTCTTTGGTGAACAGGTGTATCGTACAGATGATAAGTCTCCGAAACATAGTAAGTCTAACTGAAAAAAAAAAATGATTTAAAAACGTTCATCTAACTGCCTCAAGGGTACGAGAAGTGTTAATGAAAACTTCAGAAGAGTAAAATCATTAGTCTAGCAGCTGGGCCTACTCTTCGCACCGATCCTGACGAACTGTACATTGAAACGGAGCTTCTCGAAAATGCTCCTCAATGAGGACATGCTTGAAACGCTGGTTTTGGCTCTGGACATTTGAGTTTATTTTTCAGCGCATTAGAAAATTTACGTTTAAATAAGAAAAACAGAAGAAGCGAAGTTACAATGCAAACCCATAACAAACAATAAGAGCAGAGGAGTGAGACGAAGGGGATTACAAACGGTAACTTTGGTAAAATTTTTGCTTAATTTTTCAACCTGCTCAAACTGTGACTTTGCCCTTCCCTTTATTCCTGGTCTAAAGAATACCCGTTCAAACAGTCTCAAAATTTACCTCTAAACAGGTCCCTTGTTCGTTTTCCAGTGGTTGTACGATAGCGCACAACTGGTGTGGTCAATTGGTGCGCATATTATGAGACCAGGACAGTTATCTAAAGAGGAGTTGGCCCGGGTATCTTACATTGGGAATGAAGTAAGGAACTCCTTCAATAGGACCAAAGGACTGTCGTGGTGAGAATTTTTTTTTTTCATTTTTTTTGTTTTTTTTGTTCGATTCATAGTAATCAGGACCCTGTCTAAATCCGCCCTATAAAGTACGTTGACGTACACTGACGAGAATTTCAAAGAGGCTATAAAGATTTCCTTGCTAGCGACGACCATTTAAGGTTGTATTTACAAAGGAAACGTCATGTCACCAACGCTTAAAGTATCCGCGGTCGGTCGGGGAATGTCTGTTAACGAGCCATATACTGTTATTGATTACAAGTTTGAAATGTATACTTTTGCTTTGTCTCTTTACAGCGCGGTATTTGCGCCATCTTGCATATTCCACAGCATCCTCAATCAAAAGTAAGTATGTTTCAAAATTTACACGCCATCTTAACATTTACAAGGTAAAAAAGGATATTTAGCTTGGAAAATTGGAAGGCTCGCGCCATCAATTATTCTCGTTACGTTTCTGTTGAAATCCTTGCTGACGAAAACCAAAACTTGTTACTGTGACTTAGTTGTCGCTTTCTGATCGTGCTTCGGGCGTTGAGCATTGCCACCGATAGCGATATCGCATGTTGTTACGATGAATCAGAAAAATCTGGTCACGCTGCATTTGTGGGGTGTAATAAGAAATTCAGTCAAATACGACTTTTTTTGCTGCTAATAAGTGTGGTTAAGTTTTTGAATTGCTTTGCTCTTTTTACTCCAAAGTGACTGGCTGAACGTTTTAGTGAAAGGGAAGAACCTAAACCAGGCGCTTAACGATTGGTACCAGTCCTCTGGCCAGACAACGCAGGACTGTCAGACACTCATCGAAACGGAGTGTACTTATCCACAGTGCGCTCCGACGTGTCCTTCAGGCTGGAAATTAATGGGTCAGCGGTCCCGCAGTAAACACACCAAACCACCGTCTGACTAGGTTGCGGTTCCAAGACTACGTAAATGAGGGAGCCCCATGGAAAAAGGGTCTCCCAAGACACTAGTGTAATGTAGAAGTTGTTAATGGAATATCACTATATTTTAATATGCAACAGAACACATTGATAACAGCTACTATAAATTTCTTCGTACTACGAAGTTAATGATTAAAAAATAGTTTAAAAAGGCGTTACGAATTTTGAAAAGGTCGACTTTTAATTAACTAATCAAGAGTGCTTTTTGTGGCCCTTCTGATTCCATCATTTTCACCGAAAGCCCGCAAAACGGTAGGTACGTTGTGTATGAGGACACATAATGTACTTCACGTAATTATAAAATGAGTAACTTATAATGAATATGCATGTTATGTTCCCATACAGTGTACCGGAGCGATAAAGTACTCGGTAAAATTCGACTCCATTTTGTTTTGATTGAAAGTAAAGAAAAGTGGCGGCAACCTGGTAAAAAAATACAAATCTTTTCATAGACATAGGTAACCAAGTTTTATCTTTGGCCATAAGATGTATCTCATCCTTTTTTGGTAAATTCAATATTTTCTCACGTAAAAATACGAGGAAAAAGAAAAAGAATTTAAATCATGAGGGCCACTATTATGACAGAAACTCATTAAAAATTAATCTTATCATAATAGGAAAACAGAAACACCAACAACGAGACCATTTTTCGGAGATGGTAGAGTTGATAGGTAGTTGAAAGACACTGTTTTGTTATGTGCTATCGACTGTAATATTAATCACTGTAATGCATCAAATAGTTTTGCTCGCGCGCGATTGGTCTTAACGCATCGCCTGATCAAATACGCCTCAGCTAAAACTGGGGAATATTCGAGGATATAAAGCAAGCGATATGCCCATATTTTCAAACCTTGCGTCTTGAAAAGTGACTCGAAAAGATGAGAGAGCGTTCAGCTATTGTTACAGAAGAAGGGACAATTTTGTTCGTTCATTTAGTCGTACTAGAGACACTAAGAAAGAATTATCATCCCACACATGGCAAACAGTAAGATGTTCACAAACCTTTTACCCACGCGTTGCAAAAATATTTGAAGGATAATAAACACGATAGCTCGGACATTACCTGTTTCTCGAAGTTCACAGTTTCCCCGCACAACTGTACACATCTCGGGACAGATAACGTCCGCGGACAACTATCCGTGCCTGTTTTCGCGCCAAATGAGGGCTGTAGTTTTTCTATCAACTTTTCATTAATTTACCATCTGTTTGGTCGACCAGTTCATCGTTTTGATTGACTTGTTCGTTTCTCGACGGCTTTTATTCAAGGCAAGCAGTTGTTGTTTAAAAAGCTGAGAAACGAACAAGGAGACAAGAAAGGCTGTTTTATCATTAAGCGCAAGCAAGGTTTATAATGACTGTCATTTGTTCTGTTGTTAGGTGCATTACTAAATATTAAAAAATATAACGACGTTTAAAATCACTGAATCCAATTCTATATACAATTAATTTAAAACAAATAGAGAAACGTTCGAGTTGCATTCTTCTACTTACAGTGTTTCGTCTCAATTTTGAGGCAATGCTGTATGAAAGTATAACTAACTATTGGTGAGTATTTCTTACGTGTATGTGAAGGAATTCTATAATATATTTACAACACCAATAAATTAATAAACAACTCTTTTATTTCATAAAAATTTAGTCTGATCACTACAGTAGCAAGAAGACTAGTCTGTTCCGGGCTTTCAGTTAGAAAAACGAAGCACGATAGTAATTAAACGAGGGAGGCTTGGGTCGAGTCAACCAACGAACTGAGAAGACGAGGTTTACCGATAAAAAATCAAAGGGTTACCGTCCGTGTAGGTGAATAAATATGGCGGCGACGAAGTGCTTTGTCTCGTGTTCACTTATTCCCTACGTCTAATTTCTAGTTCTCCCTTCGAATTGCTGTACACTTCCTTGAAAATTAATTCTGAGACTGTAGCTCGACAAAAAACACCTCACTGTCATTTCAGCGTGACAATAGTTTCGAAATTGAAACTTCCAAGAAACAGATTTCCAATGACAACAAAGTTTCTCTTAATAGAAATCTTCAAGTCGGTTATTTGCAAGTGCACGTTAATGTCAGAAGTTATCTGCGTTTTGAGATGTGTTAAAAAATCTTCGACACTAAGGCACTTCATGCCCTGAAAACGACACAAGAGAAACAGAGTGGATTTTCAGCGGTGTTGCATCTGACTGTAGGTCGCGCCTCGTTCATACAGCAGGTTGGAATAACGAGTTTGAAGTTGGTTTTCACGATCGGTTTGTCTTCTCACATCGTCTCTCAGAGCCTGAAGGAAACAGGAGAAAAAAATAATCACCATGTAATGTAATGCAATGTAATAAAAAGAAGGTTCCCAAAGCCTTCACAGACCAACCCTCCCCCTCCCCCAAATTTAGGGAAGGAGATATAAGGATCGGACTCACAACTCTCTCGGTAGAGGACCCCACAAGTTTCCAATAAAATCATACTATTTACCTCAGGCACCTCTTCCAATTATTAAAAATTGATAATTCCAGGAGAAAATCTTTTTTTTTTCAACCATGAAGACAATGACGGCTTCTTGAACGTTCGGATTAAAATGTGAAACACTTACCCACCAGAAAATGATTATCATTTACACAAGTGTGTGCAGTTCCAGTCGTGGAACTTAAAATGGTGAATAAAAAGACAACGTCGTACAAGAGTTTCTTTGACCAAAAATCGTGAAATCAAGCTGGGCAATAAAAGTGTTCCTTGACTCAAGATTCCTTGGATAACAATAAAGTTGGACGCTTGACGAGAGATACATGTAAGAGTTGAGATAAGGGGGTTGGGAGGGGGGGGGGAGGGAAGAAGTCCTTCCCAATATTTCCACAAAGGTTTATCCTTTGGCCAGACAACAAGACAAGTTTAGATTAGGAGTGAAAATAATACACTTTCTTATTACCTCAACTCTCTTGGGAATAGCTCTCAGTTCATGTTCTCTCAGGGAACTGAAAGTTTCTTTCTCCATGTGCGCCTGTTCAACTTGTTCGTAGAGATCGTTAATCTGTTTCGTCAAACCAACAGCTCGGGTCTGCAAGGAAATATATATCAGACCGAAACGCTGAGAGAATAACTCCCTAATACTTCTGTCCATAGAAAATATTAATATGTAAACTTTAGCCATCAAAGTTTTCAGGCTCACTGACAAAAGAATTGGAAAGACTAAAGAAGCACAAACTTGCACATTACTGACATGTGCCATTCCTTTTTTTATAAAAAGTCCGTCTTGGTATTTGCAAAGATACTGGATGTTTGGTTACTTAAACTGATTAAAATTCATTTTTTTGTCCCCTTTCAGACTTCAATTAAGCAATTCAGTAAGGGAAGTAACCTGGATTATGTCAGTATGGCTTTTCTTAGCCCGGAAATTGAAGAAGAAATCTAGCATGGACCTGCCTACCCATCAGAATCAAAACGGAAACCAATCAAAATCAATCCTTAATCGTTCGCTCCAATTTAAGCTGTTCGATTTTTTTTCTCTTTAAGTTCTAAAATTTTCTGTGCACTAATAAACGTTATGATGATTTTGGATTTGGTCACGAGGCGTCAAGCGAAATATGGTTAAAACGTATTAAGTAAAATCAAACAGAAACAGAGTATGTTCTTACCTGGTAGCCACCGAGAAGAACTTTCAGTTTCTTCTCAACTTTGGCCGCACGTTTCGCGTCTTCTGTCATGTGTGTTCGGTTCATCTTTAGCAGTAATCAAAAGAAAAAAGATAGAGAAAAAATTTGTCGTTTAGCTTCTGTTGTGTACCGTAATTATCATGCTCCGTGCGACTAAAATACTACGTGCAAAGAACTCTCTTAGTGACATGCCGCGAACTTGGAATCTGCATAATTTTAGTTTAAATAGTTCCGTGTATGTCTTTCGAGTTCATTCTTTTATACAGCATATTTATTTATTTTTGAATATGCTCTTGTACTTATGTAATAACTTCTAAAGTCTACGTAACAATATACATTTACAAAGACGATGCAGTCTCTTACCTCAAGTTTTTTCTCCAAGGATTCCAGCCTGTCTTTCTTACTGGCCAAAGCAGCTCTTGTATATCGCTGCTGTGTCGGCAAAAACAAAACCTGTCGGAGACACGAGCAGTCTAGTTTGACAAATGGAACCTCTTTAATAGAGATTAATATACAGCTCCGAATCTTTCAACTAAATGGACACACATGGGGGCTTCCTTTAAAGACTTGACAGCACTTGTGCATCTAACCCTAGCCCTAATAAGATGACTAAGCTCAAAATCAACCTTCTCTGCAAAGACATTTCGTAGCTGAGAAGTGTTTAGAATCCTTTTCACAGCCTAACGCATCAACTACATTTCTAACGTTGTAGGTGGGGTCCGTTCATCAGTCTCCTCGCAGCCGTTTTTTGTCTCATCTGAACGCGTTTTTTACCCTCCCCCCCCCAAGCTTGCTTCAATTGGAACCACAATAATTTCCTGTAGTCGGCGCGAGACAGAGTTTGTTGCGTGACAAGACCGAACCATGGCCGCGAAGGAGACCAGAATCCACATGGTGGACTCGGATTTTTCTTGTTTCCGCCTTCGTGAAAAACGTTTATCGCAGCACCAAATAAACGTGCTACTTGATAGCTACAGTTTAACAGAGGCATATAACCTCCTTCGCCGCTGTTGTGTTATCTCGTCGCGAAAAAAGCTTTCGCAAACAGCGTTGCGTGACGGAACATAACCAAGGCTGCAAAGGAGACATAGTGAAACACCAATATTTCAGTTCAAAACTTGTCCCTCGCTACCCCTGTAGTTACGCTCACTGTTATATTGGGCAGCCAAAAGATAACTCTACAGGGGCTTAACAAACTAATTTTCAGGATCCAGGTCATACTTTTATGTTACTACGAATTTACAAGCTAAACTATGTGGTGTTGAAAAAAGCGATAATTAAATGGCCCCACCTGAGCGTAGCATTCTTCCCACACTTTAGTGTAGCTCTCAATGGGCAGATCTCCATGAGCCATTTTCGACTTTACGAATTCCATCTCCTTCGCCAGAAGCTCCTTCGCGTTACCGATCTCTTTCTCCGAAAACGATTCCAAAGGCTCATTTTGAAGAGCCGCTTGATTTGCTGCTATAACAGCCTGCGCAGAATTCTTGGATTTCTTGTGGGTCAAGTTTTCGATCTGTAGAGCTGTTGGATGATTGACGACGTCATGTCGAATCATGGTCACCATCTCTCGTTTGATGAGTTCTTCCGCCTAACGCAGAAAATTCGCCAAGCATTATATTGACACGTAAAGATTTTTCAAACATAGCTGTGTTTTCTTTCTCTCTGTCTTCTTTTGCTAAAAGAGTTCAGTGAAATGCGCCTTGATTGAGGGTGACTGCATGGGAGTGTTGTTCACGTCGCTGTTTGACACGATAATAAGACAAGAGTAGAGTACAAGAGCACTAGATGTAGTAAACCTAAGAAACCGTCACCAACTAGCGAACCAACGCAACAGCGAATAAACCCACTCACAGAGGGGAAAAACGAGCAAAAAAGAGCTTTACTCAAAAGTATGTTAGTAATTGGCAAACCGAATCGAACCGAACCGAACCGAACGAATAATGTGCTAAGTATAAACATTTACTACAATCTTCCCTCTTTATCAGTGTTCAATCTAGGCCGCGTTTTTGCGTCATTGACGTGAAATATTCTATTCTGCCGCAAAACGAAATGATCGTGGAGTTATACTGACGCAAAAAAACCAAACAAAACCGAAAAAACAAGTCACCTCAAATATAAATACTTCCAAAGCAGCAGGCAGTAATAAAAGTTAATTAAAACAAATGTGTGCATAAAAACTATAACATGCTGGTGATAGTTTAGATGATGTCAGTTTTTCAAAGTTTCAATATCATAGTTTGACCTAGACCAATTTTGAAACGACACAGTTTAAAATGTCATGCGGGACATATGACCTACTTTGACTAAATTCTAGATTAAACACTAAACCTTCTACCTGCTGTAGTCCTGTGAGGGGTGGTTCAACATTGGCCGGCCTTAGAACAGTAGCGTTAACATCCGATGGGCGTGGCATTTCCCGCTGTACGGCTTGGGACCGCCGTTTTAATTCTCTAAGTTCTGTAAAAAAATTCAACAAAACAACAACAGACATGTATTTATACTCTGAAAAATCAAACTAAAAACAAGTAGGGCAAATTATGCTCGGAGAGTCTAAGCCAATCGTTGGTGATTAAATCTAACGCTCACAAATCGAAAAAAGAATATCTTAGATAAGTGTCTAGTTCCAAACCTTCGGCAGCTTTCATGGCCATTTTCCTGGCATCGACATCTGCTGCATCTTCAACGAAGCCATTATCTGTAGTCTCCTCTGCTTCACCCTCAGCGGTCTGTTAGTAACAGAAGAAATTTCATGTTACATACTCTACTCGACTTGGGAAACGCGTAAAATCAAAGGAAGTGAAAAGAAATAAATAAAAAAATAAACAAAAAAATAAACAGAAAGCAAACATTGCCAAAGGAAAAAAAATGAAGAGGCTTCTGGTCATAGCTTGGGTAAATACCAAACTGAAACGATCACATCAAAAACTATTTTAAAGAAATCTCTACAGCGCTGAACATAACCCAAGTATGGGTACAATAAAAGAAAGAAAAGCATCTCACCTCAGGTAGTACTATCTCAAAGTCATTAGAAGGCGCTGGAAGTGATGCCAAACCCGCTTTCAACTGAGCCTTCAGTTCTTCCTGCATGAACACAATACAGTTTGCATTATGTAGCATTCACGAAAAAACAAGTCCTGTAAACATGATTAGCGCGATAAGTGGAGAGGGGAGAGGGAAATGATGCTAAACCCGTTCTCAAATGAGCCTTAGCTCTTCCTGCATGAACAATCACGAAAAACAAAGACACAAAACAACACAACGACCCAGCTAGGGCTCGAACCCAGACCTCTCAACCCGAAGTCTAGCGCGAACACGTCAGAGAATTCTTACCTGTTGTTCTTTGGCTCTGTAACCTGCTTCATACTCCTCCAGCGACTCTTCTGGATTAATATTCAGTTTATCTCTCACAGATGCACGCCCTGGTGTGGCAGAGCTTCCCCTCTGAGGGGTACCAGCCATGCTACGAGGAGTGACGCCTGAGGACACAAAACACAGTTTACGGTCGAATGAAAAACTACGCATGGTACATCAGACGAAACAGAAAACGCAGAGAATTGTTCGTTTTATTTATATGCGTGTTCCATCGAGTCACAAACTGGAATCGTCAATTGACCTTAAAATAGTACTTTCTGTAGATAACTAAATTTTTACGTAAAGTGTCTTACCTCATTAACAAAAATAAGAGACAGTTTACAAAGTCATACACACTAGAAATGTCTAATTAATTATTCGGTGTTTTCAACATTTCGAGACAGCAGTGATTTGAGAGAGTTGATAGCAAATGAGTGAGATTTTAAATGAGCGTTCAAGAGAGTGGTTCTTACTTTACGAAACAACTGTGTGCAGATGTAAAAAAAGGACTTGAAGAATCACTGCAAGCACCACTCCTAGTACAGAGTGGTCCTTTACTTGCAACACTCACCCCCACTCTCTCCCTGAGGTGTCCTGTATGGTGTTGCTAGCATCATGTTTGGTGTCTGAATAGCTTGGTGTTTTGGGGTAACACCCTCAAAGTCACTCTGAGTGAGGGGTGTGTTCATACCCCCTTTCAAAGGAGTGTCCACATTAGATAAAGCCAGGATATTCTGGGCTTCCTGATGAACAGAACACAGTAAGTAGGTTAACGAATAGTTCATTGTGACAACATGCTTAGTGTTGGGGATTCAAGAAAATAAATTGTTTCAGTTTATCAACCACAAAATAAATGTAAGCCATGAGCACTGGAACAAAATTTTGCAGGAATTTTATTTTAGCAGCTCAAGATGACTGATTTTTCTGCTGGGCACTAATTTTTTGCAATTTTTACAGCAGAACTGTAACGAGGAAGAAACCAAAGGAATAACACAAGGTTAAGAAAAATGTGTCTAACCCTGCCAGTACCCATATTTCTCTTCTCATAGATTAAACACAGGGGTAACTTATTACTGCAGATCAGGAACAAATCTCCAAGATCAGTATGAATTAAAACATTTTCACAGTGCACAGTGTATAGTAGAAACCCTCCATGTAGTACCTGCAGAATTGTATCTTGTTCAGCAGGTGTTCGAGGAGTCCTCAGAGCATGGGCTGCCGCAGGAGTAACTGAATATTCACTCAGAAGGGCATTGGATGCCATGTTACTGTCTTCAACTGATAACCGAGCTGTCTCACTTGCCTGGCCCATCTTCACAATCTAAATAAAATAAAATAAAATAAAAAGACAACAGATTTTGTAGGGAGTGAATTTGTGAATGTAACAGATATATATATATGAAGATCACTCAAATTACAAACCTCCTCTAATTCTGTATCAGATATCTGTGGTTTGGGAAGAACAAGCTTGCTACGTTTCTTTACTGAGTCTGGATCATGAAGTCTGCAATGAGGACAAAATCAGCACATGGTTTATGTTTGTGAAATTGTAATGGTAGTTTTGTTGTGCTTTTTTTTTGGGGGGGGGGTGTTGTTTACTTTCTCAGATGAGATAGAATGGAGAGTATTGTTGCAAATAAGGTTTTGTTAATAGTCACAGCTGCTGATTGTTGTCATGGCTTTTGGTTTTGATGCTTTTTGTTACTGGTAATTGCCAAATTCCTGTTGTTTTTTTCTGTTTTTGATATTTTCAGTCTTGCTATTTTTGAGGGGGGGATTGATGTTGTTTGGTTGTCAACACTTTTATGGGTGAGTTTAAGCATGATGCTTAAGAATGCTCTCTTTTTCTCTAATTTTGAAGATCAACACTGAAAGAGTAGAAAAAAAATTCGTGTTCACAACAAAGTTGAATATTTGGTATGCCTGACTTGTACAAATGGCTGAAAGCAGAGAGGAAAGTATTAGATTTAACTCTTTGCTCTTTCTTGTAAACATCATCCTTAACCTCTTGCTGCCATTGATGTACTTCTTATTGTTACAGTTTATACAGACCCTCATCATCAACTTAGCAGCTGCAGTTATTAAAACCAAGCCAGCAGTTGCCAAAGCCATAATACTTACTTGTTAATTTGCATCACAGCTCCTGGAAGATCTGTCTCTTTTCGCTTTTTCATCCTCTCTCTGTCTTTCTTTCTTTCTTGCTGTAAAATGAAGTCAAATGAAGAAATCCATAGGCTCATTTTAAACACGTAGGTTTGATTTGCTCTTGAAGCCCAAAAATAATCAGCATAAATTTCTGGGCACACTATCAAGACATTGTCTCAAGAAAAACTCAAGAGGGTCAAGACAAGCTAACAAAAGAGAAGCTGTCCTGATCTTTGACAAATTCTCACCATAGCTGTTACAATAATATGTATGGAGACTGGTAAGGAGAATTTATCGGTTGACTATGGAGATAAAAGGGTCAGGTTCATCATCACAATTCACTCCTTGCAACGTTAATCACAGTAAAGCCAATTTTCACACTTGTTTATTTTTTACTATTCATAAATGGAGGGCACCCAGTAATTTTAGAAGACTAGCCACTTTCTTTACTTTTGATCTGAACAAAAAAATTTAACTTTTTGATCCTACAGTATAAATGGATGCTGTCTTGTCTTGACTCTACTGAATATAACTAAATCTGGGAAGTGAAATTCAATCCTCACCTGCTCAACATCATCTCTCATTTTACCATCCAGATGATCCTGACGAAGTTTTTTGAAATCTGGCTGATAGTCAGGTAGTTCCTCCTCAGCTGTGTCATAGAAACCTACCAAAATATAAATTAATAAATATATCATCATCATTGTCAACCTCCTTATCACTGCCATTGTCAATTGAAACAGTCAAAACAAAAGTGTTCTCCTTTTCAGGCACTAACCAGAAAATTTCACCACCTCTAGCAACTTTTATTACTTGAAAATTAAACAGCTAAAAGGATTGCTCTATCAGTTTGAAAATTTCTTTTACCTGTCGTGCTTAAAATACATTGTTTCTAACTTAATTATTTATGCTCAATTCAAGGGCAGGGCAGGGGAGGACAGGAAAAGGTAGATGTTGGCCAAATAGTCAGTGCATTAGACTTTGAATCAAGAAATCTTTGTCCAGTGCCTGGCCCCATCTTTGCCTTGTGTTCTTAGGCAGAAATATTAACTGTTACAGTGCCTTTCACCATCAAGGAGAAGAGAGAAGCACCAAGAAGCTGAAATGCTGGGAAACAATAACATGTGGAAATGGAGCAACAGGCATAACCTCTTCATGCCACCAAAAGGGGGATGGGTTCTTTCACCTCCTTAATAGGTACCAGTCTCGTAAGCAGGCTTGATCTCAGGGTGAATTACATGTACATGTCTATGAAATATGCTGTTGTTACCCCTAACCCTCCCTGATTAAAGATTTTCAAATAAGTACATCTTAAACTTTACATGAATGTATCAACAGTACTCTACCTTGAGCTGGTTTCTTCTCAAATGGTATTTCAGCATTGTAATCCACTCCTCTCTTTTTCTTTCTGTGTTTTCGTATTCTTTAAGTTTGAAAAATAAAATTTAATTACAAATATCTTAGTCAATAGTACATAAGAATATTATACAGTAATTCACATGTGAATTAGCCTTCTCAGTTTCATTTTCTTCATGGTAATTCTATCATTTCTGCCCTCCATAGGAACTATCCTTTACGGTAGTTTCCTTGAAAATGTTTGAAGAAGGCATTTACTTAACCTGAATGAGGTGGAATTGACAAATGAAGAAAAAAATTAGGAATAAAGTGGGGAGAAAATTTAGTAAGTAAGTGGTTATGAATCTTACAGTAAGCAACAGACAATTGCTGGCTGACACATTTTTTATGAGAGCCCAAACTTGACAGGAAGGCTACATTAAAAGGAATAACAACTGGGCCAAGAATTTAAAGAAGATGGTAGGAAACTGTTGGTAATAATTAACTTACTCTATTCCAGCAGCTCTCAGTTCCCTCCTCTTCTGCAAGGCAGCCAGTCGCCTAAAAAAAACATAATTCAAAATATCATACACCTGTTTGTAGAGTGTACATATACACACATGTACAGTAAATGCTCCAAGTGCCCCCCCCCCCCATGGGAAGCTCTTATAAGCCTCTGGGGACTGTCATTCAATTCCTCTATTTCCCTTCAATGCCAACACATAATCATTATAAGTGTCATAAGCATGCTGAATGAGAATATGGAGCATGTTCACTCAAATAAATTCACAAAAAAAAGATAAATAAATGAACTATTAAAGTTGATTGGCTATGTTATAAAACAAAGTTTGTATGATCAATTCTTAGACTCCTGTTTCCAACCTCACCTGGCTTCTTCAAGCTGTTTCTCTCTAGCTTTCCGCTTGGCCTTTTTACCCTGAGTATTAGCTAAACGAGCCCTTGCTTCAGACAGCATTTCCAACTCTGATCATTACAAAAAACAAAGAAACTTTATGAAAACAGTTACATGAACTGACAATTGATATAATCTAAACGTACATCTCTTTTGTCTCACATAAGTAAATTGTAAGAGATCTTAAAAAGAAAGTTATCAAGTACCATCTTCATCCATATCAATAGGGTCAGGTCTTGCTGGCTTTGTCTCAGGATTGGGATCAATTTCTCCTGGGCGAAGTTTGCGTGGGTCATCACCTTCATCTTTTTCCCCTTCTTTAGCTTGAGCTTGATCTCTGAGAAATAAATGAATAAAAAAAGGATTAAGTAAATAACTACAAATCAGCTGCTGTATATCCCACAGAAATTCCTCATCAACTGTTTTCCGGCACAGTTGAGTTTCAAGGGGTATTTTTATGGGGAGGGGAAAATAGGAGAAACTGGGAAAATTTTTTCATTAAGGCAGAGAATCAAAACCAAACTCAATCCACTCAAACAGGTATTGTACCTGGTTAATGGTAATAGTGGAAAGTAAAAGATTCTCTCTTGTTTTTCTTTAATATAGCTTAGCTTGTGAGTGAACACATGCCCCTTTGGTATTGTTCAAATGCACTGGAAAATTGTTTTTATCAAAAACTCTCTGCCATAGGCCAAGATCACCTCTAGGGCTCAATTTTAATCCTACTCTTGCTCTAATTTCAGCCCAAACTGCTCAGCTTATATCTGAATCAATAAAATAAACTGGCTTACAAAAGGAACTCATATCGTTCCAAGCACTGTGATGCTGTGCGACCAATGAGAGGAGCAATGGTTCTCCACTGTGTTGGCATCAGCTTTGCTAAATGAAGCAGCTTTTCATCTTCTTCACGACTCCATTCAGTCTGTTCATGGCAAGAATAAACAGTAATAAAAGTTACTCTGGCTCTTACAGGTCATGAAATCAAAAAGAATCTAGATATTCTAACTTTGTGTCCCAGAGAAAGGCAAACAGTAGTTTCTGAAGAGAACAGAAGAGATAAGACATGCATGCTCATATCAACTTGTGGAGAGTGACCAAGTTCAATCTTCTAGCGACATCATGTATATCCCACAAATTTGGTGAAAAACTTTTCTGAAATCTCATGATACACTTTTAGGGAATTTGAGAGTTTAAAAGCAAATCCCTGTTTACATCTAAAGCCCCAGCTTAAAATAAACATTTCCCATTTTTTCATACAACTTTTCATAATGTTCTTCACATCAGTTTCAAAACCCATGCAAAAGCTTCCCAATATACTTGGCTCAAAAGAGAGCCTGATGTACAACAATCCAAGAACAAAAGTTCAGCAACATAAAAATTGCTTGGGTTTAGTATCAATATGTTTGATTCCTATCATATTGTTGATGTGTTGATGTAACTTTCTGAAGGAACTATGGTGTTGCATTGGTGATGGGGGAAGGGGGGGGAGGGGATATTACAGGATAATTTGGCGTTATCAACTGATTTGCTACTGTAAATTGGCCACTATAAAGGGTTAATAAACTAATGTTTGGAGGGTTAGCCCTTTGTCACAGCTCTGACAAAGGGCTGATGCTCAAAGTTTCAGCTTTTAAATTATTTGTGGAGGCAAATTTTCCTTAAAAAAACAGTTGATTTAACTAAATTGGCTTTGTTACCTTCTTAATGCTGGGGTCCAACCACTCGTACCTGATAAATAAAAAAAAAAACCAACACATCAGACAGCATAGTCACTAGTGACAGAGCACCATACGAGCAGGCAAACAATGAAACTACAGACAATTTGGTTCATACACTTTGACTCACACCCTTAATAAGTGTATACCATCTTGTTTACTTTCTCTCTCTCTCTATGTTGAGGACTTTTGAAAACGCTGATCCTGACAGTCTAAAGGACACTTCTCACATGAATGGTTGTACATTTCGAAAAAATAACCAAAGATCTACACCTACCACCTAGCTTTGCACTGCTTGGCTGACTTTCGATGTAACAAAGACGCGATTCTGGACCACTGGTTTTTTCCATATTTCATTACAGCAGCCTTTAGAATTTCATCCTAAATTCAAAATACAAATGAAACACGAGAATGGAACTTATATTTTGCTGTCTACTCCTTGTAGGAAGGAAACGAAATAAAATTTGTTTTAACAGTCAGTCGGAGATCCATACTAAAATTATCTCACATTTTAGTCGCAATCGTGAAGAGTTTACCATCGTCACATACGCATGCAACAAGGATCTAGAAATTAGGCTTACCTCAGTGTTTCTCCAAACCCCTCCTTTGATTATGATCCGTGGCATGGCGTAAGGTGGAGTTGATTACCTGTAATATAGCCCGATTTAATGTCTGATTTCGAAATTCCCCTGCTTTTGCAGATATTTTATCTCATTCCAGGTACGATCCACGAGTAAACTGCAAGCAAAAACGTTCTGATCCTTCCCAGCATTCCCGTGGATATGTCATGCAAGGAGTAATGAAGTGTACCTACTTGTAGCGAGGGCTCGTCCAGCTCGTCTGTTTCGGGAATCGACACTTAGTCCAAATACGAACCAGCTTTTGAGGATAGAGGAAGACGCGATAAACTAAATTCACTACTGAAAGCTTTATTCCATGAATTTTTCATTTTTTTTCGCATTTCAGCATACGTTTTAATGTGCGAAATTGAGACAAGCGTACAGCGGTTTCTCTAATGAGTACTAAGGAGTGGACATTGGGTACTAAAAATGCTGTAGAAATCAATATGGCTTCCAAAGTGAGGTCACGTCTCAAATTTTTGTCTCCTCATGTTGATGAGAAAGTATTTAAAAGTCTGCAAAAGCGTATATCACCACGGAAAACATCCAAGGCACTAGAATCTGTGAAAGGTGGGTCTCGCGAGAGAGTTGAAGATGTTGTTAAAGGCCTCAAATGGCGTCGTTTCTGCTCAGAAAATATTGTTGTACATTGTAAACTTGTTTGTAGGTTATCAACAAGCTTATGCAGCAAGGTCGATATACTACTGTTTTTTAAAGGGCAGACTATTTTGAAAGCTGCGGTAAAGGGTGCTCTCCACGAAAATCCCATGTCAAATTCTTGAAAAAACTTTAATACCTTTTCCTGTCTTTATATGCAAATTTAACTGGACAGAACTGAACGTTTTATTGACTCGGTATAAATTGATTAAATTAGATTTTAATTATTGATTTAAACAATATCAGATGGTGCCATTCCATTTTTGGCATCTATTCCAATAGGATGGTCCCTTACATTTACTATGAGGATGCAACTGAGGGTTTTTGAGGCACTACCTATAACGATGAATCAGTGATGAGAATTGTGACTCCTGTTTTCAGAAAAAAAATTACAAATTGGGTACCTTATTCCACAGAAAGGAGTTTATTTCAAAAGCACTTCAAAACAAATGCAAATTAAAAGATTATGGCTTTTTTATTTATTTACGTAGAAGGAGATGAGACCATTGCAGTATCTCAACAAGAGGTCAGTGTTGATGGGCAGCCTTTATCAGCACAAAACACAGAGAAACTTGTTCAAAAGAAGAAACCAAAGGTACAGTCAATCCTGTGCTAGATTGTTTCAATAGAAAATCAGTTTGTTTGAGAGATAAACAGGAACAAATAAGTTTTTCTTTTAACAAGGTGACAAACAGAATATACATATGTAAGAAAGTGCCATCTTCATGTATTTCCAAGAATGAATATTATTAGCCTCAGACATGCAAGTGGGAATTGAATTAAGAACTACCTAGAAGAAGTTGTAGAGTGGAGGATTTGAATGTGGAATTTGTGTACATCAAACCAGCACTCTAAACCTCCCATCCACACTGCCTCCTTTTAGGTGAACACAATTTCAATTACTTTGTGAATTGTACTTTTTCAGATAAGAGTAAATATTAACGAGTGGTACCGCAAGAACACTTCATTGCTAGACGTTGAGTCAATCTACCAGACACGCCCAAATGCTAAAACAGCCTTGGTGGGCACACAACCTGAACCCCGCTTTATTTGGAAAGAAAAGGACTGGCCCAATGGGTTCCCTGATTCTCCAGAAGAGGCCAGCACAGATGTGGTGACTTTCTTAGAGCAGAGAGACTGCTATCGTCGACTGCAGGCACTTGGTGTCAAAAACTTTTGTGTTGGTAGTATTGTAGCTGTGACTAGGTCAGATCCTCTTATTGCAAAAGGAAAAGTCAGGTGAGTGTTTGTTTCTTTATGAGCACAAAAAATGTTAAAACAAAAACAACATTGCAATAAGCTAACAAAACCAAAACCTTAGGTAAAGAAATCTGTCACCGAGGATGAACGAAGTTGTGCAGAAGGAAAAATACAAATAATATTTTTAAGACTTCAGCAGCATTTGATCAGTGGGTAGTATCAATTTTTATCACATGGCTTGGTGGTCTTGAGGTAAATTGGAATATTCTGATTGGTTGTTACTAAATCAATATTTTTTCCATACTGGTCATAAGCTGTGTATTTTTGTTCACAAAGGCCAGTAAATTCAAAATAAACAAGTTAAGTCCAAGTGCCATATAATAAACTACTCACTTACCTCTCTTGCTCCAGCCATACTGGGGAATATTGGCCCTTCGTTGTTTTTTTCGGACAGACCTTACTGTGCTCAGGCCATACAAAAACATCCACAGGCCAATGTTCCTTAGTACCACCCTCGCACTCAGTTAGTGAGAAGTTGATCATTCTGTTGGTCAATAATCATGTTTCAAAAAAAGAGGCTAGTGTTCTTGGGACTGCAAATATTCTGCAAAGTTTTGATACTTGTACCTTCATGATGGGTGGCTCTTTACCAGAAAGAAAGCAATTAGATCAAATTGTTAGTCAGAATAGATATCCATTATTAATTAGAACTAACTAGGAAGAATTCTTAAGGTCAAAGTCAAATTTTGATGTAACATTATTGACAAATTAATTAATGAATTGTAGGGTTTTTTTTCTTACAAAGTTTTTTTCTCTCGTTTCCTTCAGGTTTGTGGGTATCTGTATTTACAAAAGTCGTTGGCAAAATTCCTTAGGCGCCACCTTTACTTTACGCAACGTAATAGACGGTGAACCAATGGAGGTGAACTTTCAGTTGTTCTCGCCACTTATTCAAAGCATCGAGGTCCTTAAGCACGAGACAAGAGGGGAGGATGCCCTGTGGTACCTAAGGGACTACCCTCCCTCTATGAGCACGGTGAATGAGAAAATGAAGCCACTGCCGTACACGAAAGAACCCTTGGAGTATGTTGAAACTGAAGAGACTAAGCGGGAAGTTGAGAAGTGGTTCGAGCAAATCTGGAGAAAGAAAAAGAAGTATTAAATTTTTTTTAAGCTTTTTCAAGAACTGAGAGCTGTCTGAAGACTTAAGCTGTGGAAGACGATCAGCTATAGAAAAACATGATTGTTGGAGATCATCGAACACATTAAAGACACTTGTGCAGCACAGTCTTATCAATTTTCATTTATTAACGTGTTGTAGGCATTCAGTTAGTAACCGGGCGCCTGGAGGGGAAAAAGAAGAGGGGTTTGAAACGGGTAGTGTCTTGCAGTTCAACGGCGTGCAACTGCGTACAGCAAGAAGTTTTTTTCTCTGCAGTGCTATTGCGCACCGTGCACAACTGGGCGCAAAGAATAGGTGATGTTGCCTTTTTTAATATATTTGCTGCCATTTTTTCTCGAATCAAATGGTTTGGTGGATTTAATTAATAATCAATGATAATATTTAAAAAATTATTCGCCAAAGGCTAATAACTTTTTCAGTAAAATTGCTTAGATGCTTTCGAATTCTGTCGTAAGAATTCGTTTTGATGTTAAAAACCATTCGGTTTCAATTGGTTCCACCAAAATTTGATAGGTTTATATCATTTAATCGACAAAATCTTCAAATCTTTCTTTTGAAAGGTTACTCAAAAGGTAATAGCATCTTTTGTGCTCTTAAGAATTGAATTTTCTTTATTGTGTTCATCACTTCGATAGCACTGTTAAAACGCGAGGCAGCCACTTTTGGAATTTAGCTCCTGCTATAGTCACATTGCGCGAGGTGATTAAAGTAATCCTCGACCAATCAGAGCGCGCGCATCACTGTCATTACTCGAGCAATTATATTTAAGAAATATAAGGATCATTTTTTTAGCACACAGCCGTGTTTGACGCAGTTATAACCCACAGAATCTCCGCGCAATTTCAGTGTGGCGAGCAGGTGATGAAAATTATTCCCCAATATCCCTTCGATCTTTTTGTTTCTTAACGGCCGAACGATTTTGCAAAAAATTGAACATGATATTCCGCACGTCAAGATTTTCTTCTTTTTTAAGCATAAGTGATGGGCTCCTTGCGTTAACATATTTCGCACTATCTTCAACTTGATCCGAGTACATGTCAAATACCATGTTTTTGAGCACTTGGAGATGGATCTCGAAAAATGGGTTCGTTTTCAGCATAGCGACGTTTGTGTGATCATTTTTATCAATCAGAAGGAAAATGAGCAAACGTTGGTGATTACAATTAAGGTGGGACGATGAATGGTAATTGGTACATGAAAGGTTCAGCAAATAGATCAGTTACAATGGAATGAAGGGAGCTGAAATCAAACTACTGTGGAAAGCCAGTGAAGAAAGGAAATATTAAAAGTTTCCAGTTTTTCATCCGTTATGGAGAGTTAAAACTTACTTAGTCAGAAATCAAAGCTTGGCTTTTCCTAGGCCGGCAAAAGTTTTATAGGTGACGCATGATTAAAGCTCAAAATTAACACGTGACGCGTGAATTTTACAGAAAGGTAGAGTAAATTAAGATCTAAAGTCTTCCCTTTTAAATTCGTGACCTGTGAAATACCCCAGCGTAAGGGTAAACGTGACGAGTGATTTATTTTCAATATTTGTGCGCAAAACGGGATCAGTACCCACTGCTCCCCTCCCTCCCCTCCTATTTGCTTTCCACTCCTCTCAGATTCTTGCACAAAGAAGCAGGAAAGTCCTCTTCAGGAAAACTCCTGAAATCATGATAGGAAGTAGAAATTTAGCAAGCTCTTCAGTTAGTCAAGTTAGATTGGTTTAAAGATTAATGAAATGCCAAAGACGTCATGGACAGCTGTAAGGGCCTCAGTATTTTATCGTTCCTGTCAGAATGTCGAAGGAAGCCGCACGTAGAACGACGGAACAACAGAATAACATGCATTGTAAGTTTCAGAGTGAGTGATAAGAATTCACGACGTCACTGAGATTAAGTCGCACGACATACCGTGGAACGTTCCGATTACGTCACGAAGATCTTTTCGGCACGAAAGATTACGAAGATATCGGTTCTTCAGTTTTGATTGCCTAAAAGAATCGCAGCAGTAACCAACGACTGATTTGTGTATTCCTCTTGTAGATATTAAAAACACTTCATGAAGATTAAACAAGAAATATCCTTCGCGAGTTTACCTGTTCC